CACCATCAGATGATCTAATTGTTCACTATGGTTTCTTAATGCACTAACTACGGTGACACCTCACTCATTTGAAGCTAAATTTTAGCTTACACCTACAAATCAAGACCAACACCTGTAAATTTTGTTGACACTTATGCACGGCGTGTCATTATTTTGTTTAACAGTGACAACACATAGTTGGTCTCTCTAAATAATCTTCTGCTTCCCTTCTTCCTTCACTGTATTTCAATTTTCATCTACACTGTAATTATTCATGTGTTTTTCTTCTACAAGATTGAACTTTATTTCATCGCTCCATTGTACCACTTGGAATTAGAGGACAAAACCAAGAACAAGCGGGAATCACGATTACCATCAGGGTATATGCATGCAATAACATAGAAAAGGAGGAACTAACTCCTTTTCAGGTTGCCAGAAGGTTATGATACTACTGTTTTCAGGTATTGTATTTCATAATTATCTTGCAATTTTCTATAATTCGTTTGGATTTTTCATTTTAATCACCGTTTTCTGCCGGGTTTCCTTGTTTTCATCTTGTATTTTTCTATTTTATTTATCTACTATTTTCTGATGGGTTTCCTTGTTCTTATCCTGTGTTTTTCTGTTTCATTTGGCTCTGTAAGCCTTTGATTAGACTTTCATTATTATATTTTGGTTAATTTGTTACTTCCCATAGGAAGGAGGGGATGGTAATTTGAGTCTAGGTACATCATAGCTGGTGACGATTCGATATTTCGCCAATTGATTTTCATACGTGTTGGATTTTTGCTATTAATAATTCATTTTCATGGTTCTTCTTGAACTCTTAAGCCCAGGAAGAATCTGGAGTGGTTTAAGTTTTTTCGTGTCTTCTGAGTTTTTTCCAAAATAAAAATGTGTTAACAATTCAAATTAGAAAGGAGCTTCACTCTATTCGACAAAGTAATTTTGTAAAACCTTTCAAAATATAGATGTATCCAAAATAATTATACCTAATAATTATCATTAGGACAAGAATATCACGGGACATATAGCGGGTTTAGTGACTACATGTCCAATCAAATTAACTCAACTATTATCTGATAATATTTTGATATTTATACTTAATTAGGTGTATTTGGTATGACCAAAATTATTTTTATTGAGAAGACTCGTGGGAAATATCATAATTGACTAAAATTTATTCTCGACTAAACAATATCACCTATATGAATTTTTTTACACCAAAGCACCCTACTTTTTACATTTATGTTCAAACATGAGATTACCCAATATAACTTTCCAACAGAATAAATCATCCAAACTAAATCGACAAGCTATGAGCTCAACGGAGCACATAATTACTCTTACCGTCATGTGTAACATTGAGTTGTTTCAATTGTTTTCTTCATATAATTCCTCAGGGTCAATTACTTTGTCCTACATTTTCATTCTTCACAAGTTACAAGATACTCAAAAGATGGAGCATCGATATACCATCCATGAAATCACGCCATTTACTAGAGATTGGAGTTGTAAAATACAAGTTGTTGACAAAATTCGCCCAAAAATTAGCAGAGATCACCGGGTGAACTTTCAAACAACCATCGTCCAGGACGAAAACGTAAGTTCACAAACATCTCAAGTACATAGTAAAGCTTCTACCATATCTGTAAACACTTTCTCCATCTTAGATGTTAACAAATTGCAGGAAGACCAAATCTGCATCATAACATATGGTCCTGAAGTCGCACATTATGACAACCTTTTCAAACATTTCCACACATACCTCATCTCGGCAGCTAAAGTTAGGGAACCGTCACGTTTTGCAATACCCATGCACAACTTCGAATGGGTCCTCGATACCTTCAGTATTGTCGAAGAAGTTATAGAGAACAATGAAGAAGAATCAATGTTACCGTTGCCTTCAAGATTAAACATGGTGTCCTTTGCCGATATCGAGAAACAGATTCCAGGAGATGAATTCGGTAAAAAACAAGACTTTATACTATTTTATTTTCCGCTGTAAAAATATTTGTGCTTCTTCATTATCAAATTTAATTAATTGCATCCTACTTTTATACACGCATGCTTTTCTAAAGCAGACCTAGTGGCAGTTGTGGCAAATTGCGGTACCATGAAATATCAAGGCAGCGAAAACAGAAGATTTCAAGAAGCTATTCTTATAGACGACAAGTAAGTAATACACACTTTAACTACCTCTAACAACAAAATATGTATTTAAAACTGCATCCTTAATTTCATAGGAAAAAGCCTTTTCTGTTTACTATATGGGGAGAATTGGCTGACAAAGATGGAACTGAACTACTGCAGCAGTTACATAGATACCCTGTCATTGTTGCAAAACGAATAGCTATTTCTAACTTTAAACAAGGTATTCACAACTTACTTTACATCACACATGTACATTAATCTTTACCTTTATTCATTAACAAGCATATGACATGTAGACGTCCGACTAACAACAAGGTTCAACTCCTTAATCTTAATCGATCCTTTGTACCCGCAGGCAGCAAAGTTAATGAATTGGTATGAAACAGGTTTTATTTGCACACGAATACGTTCCATTGTATCATACCATATTACACCAAAACAAAATTACAATATCTACTATTACATCGCAGGGCAAAGGACAACAATCAGATGCTAATTGAATACACTCTCAAAAGTACATCAGCATCGCCTTCGACACTAAATGTTGCACCTTTTGAAGATCAAATACTTTCTATTTCAAGCATTCCTTCACAGTCTATCGTGAGTATATTAAAACATATCAGTCGGACTTGGCATTGATTGTTTTTTTCTTCTTTTATATCGTATTAAAAATACCCTATAGCGAGTTATTCTACGTTGTAATTACTAAGTAGTATCTTTTTATTATTTTCTAAACAGGCGCAAAGTTTTTATGTTAAAGGAGAAATATCATTACCAAGTGAATTCCAGTTTTTCTTCGTACTTCTATGCTCTGAATGCCAACATCTAATATGAATCAAACGCAAAAAGAAAGTTCTCTGTATCAACTGCAAGCTAGAGAGAATGTTGATTCCAAGGTAATAGCAGCTCTTACTATTGACATACTATGACAAACGACATCTAACGGCTAAAACTTTATGATTACAAACACAACAATGTAGATGTGAATTTGAAGTTGATGTCACAGACGGGAGCAGAACAATAACAGTAGTAGTGTCGGACAAACTAGCTGAAACAATGCTTTCACTGACAGCAGACCAAATATATGAAACTACCATTGTCCAGGTGCATATACTGACAACTCTAGATTTATTTTGCATCACTTCAAATTAATTTAAAGTCTTCACTTTACTCATTTTGTGGTAAACTTTTTCCCAAAGAAACAATTGTTACCCATTGAGCATATCAGAGAGAGCCTGCTAGACAAGCTGTTCAAAATTCATTTACAAAAATCACTACTCAGAACACCAGATAGGCCACCTGGTACCTTTGTCATTTTATCTTACACCCAGAAACAGACTGTCTTCGACTTGGTACAATCTTCAACATCAGCTACTATTGGCGAGGGAACTAAAAGGAAGGTACAATCCATCACTTCTGAAGAAGCAGATCGCAGTCCATCGACAGAAGATGGAACCCCAAGAAAGAAACCAAAAGTACAATGACCAAGTCCTCTACAAAAATACTCAAGGTTAGAAATTAATACTTGATAGACTATACTTTTTTTAAGAGCTTTTAACTAAGCTACTTTGTATGTAAGAACAAAATCAAAGAAAATACAGCTAACAAACAACAGCAAATACAAACAATAAGTTCATATATAATAAAAGTTGTCAGGTAGAAAGTGAACAAAATTGTTTGTCCATCCAAGCATGTATTCTAACTCTTTATTAAATGATTTAGCAAGATGACATTTCCAAATCCCAAAAGAATTTCTGTTTTCTATTTGTACGCTACTTAATAAATAATTACATTTACTGCTCCCAATTTTCGTCCGTTAAACTGCTTATTTTATCCCCATTTTGTGTGAATAACTACGCAGATTTCCATGAACTGTTTATTGTTATCTACGCAAACTAACTCTTTGAATAATCTTGTAAACCCGAGTAGCTCCCACTATATACACATTTATGTTTTCGTCGTACCTCCAAAACTTCAAAGCGTTTCATCAGAACTCTAATCCAAAAGTGAAAAAGGCAAATCTCAAAAGTTTTTTTGTTGTCTGCTTTAGCCTACTTAATGAACAATTACATTTATTGCTCTCAATTTCTGTCCATTAAAAAACTTATTTTTTGTCAAAATAGACTTATGGATTTTGCTCATACGGTAAAGCCTATGTTGCTATGCAAAACAAAATCTGTGTCCAATGTCTTCACAGCTCTTTGTCCAAATTACATATTCTCAACTACTCTTTTGCACTTAACTCCCAATTTATTTTTCGTACATGTGCCTCATCACATTTGAAGTGCAACAAAGGTCGCCTCAATGTTATTTGATAGGCTATAGCAGTTGTAATACTTGCATTCAAGGAAGATTTTCGTTGTGTTGTCTACTGCAGTACAATATTTCACATTTTCTATAAATAGCTATGCAAACTGACTCTTACCAACACAAATTTTGCTGGTGTTGTTTACTGCAGTTCAATGTTCCACATTTTGTGTTTGAATTATCTGGTAAATCCAGGCAGGTNAAATCCAAGCAGCTTCCATTATATATGAATTTATGTTTTCAACAGTTTACTGTTAGCTACGCAAACTAACTCTTTGAATTATCTGGTAAATCCAGGCAGCTCCCATTATATATACATTTATGTTTTCAGTCATACCTCCAAAACTTCAAAGTGTTTCATCGTAACTCTAATCCAACAGTGAAACCATAGCCGCATACCTATACAAAATAATATGCAACCTTAGCTTAGTACTAACAAATTTACTTTGAAAAAGAAAAATTTACTACCAACACCTAAAACGAAAACCCATCCGCTCAATGTTACCCGTATTCCCTTACGTTGATAAAGTAGCATAATATATAACAAAAAGCATAACGTTATTCATGTTGGGCCCGGGCAAAGCCCGGGCTAACCCTACTAGTACGCATATAAGACACAATGCATAAAACTAGAAAGAAAGAAAAACATTATTGAATATATTATACACAGTATAATATATACAAAATAATATATATATTTTGTGTCAGTTACAACAAACAAACAAAAAATATATTGTATATTCCACTATTTTGCCCTTTGGGTTTTCTCGCAGCAATAAGAATGGATTTTCTATCCATTTTTGTATCAGATGGAGTTATCAACCCAAATAAAAAAAACCTAAAATTTATTGGAATCAGAGTATGGAGAAGTATTGGGATGATAAAGGGAGATTAGAAAGAATAGATTAGTGGAGACTGAAAAATAAGCTCGTGATTAGGCAATTTTGGCAAAGAAAAAAGTTTATAGCCTCTTTGACAAAGCTTATTTTTGGGCCAAACGTGCTTTTTTTGGCCAAAAATATTTTTGGCCAAAAATTGAGGTGTTCTGCCAAGCTTTTGGAAGAAAATAAATGCTTTTAGGGAGAAACAGAAGCAGATTTTGAGAAGCAGAAAAAAATAGCTTCTCTCGAAAAGCACTTTTCTGAGAAGCACTTTTGAGAAAAATACACTTAGAAGCAGTTTTCAAAAGCTTGGCCAAACACTAATTACTGCTCAAAAGTGCCTTTTAAATTAATTAGCCAAACACAAACTGCTTCTCACCAAAAATATTTTTTTAAAAAGTACTTTTTAGAAAAACACTTCTCAAAATAAGCTGATTTTAGAAGTTTGGCCAAACAGGCTATTAGTGGAAACAGTAAATAATGCTATGCCTATGATCTTGTGGAAGATAATGATAAAAATGATTTCTCCACGTAAGTATGGAAAAATAACGTATATCGGAGAGAGAGAGTATTGATAAGTTTGAAATAGGTTGAATACTCAAAATGATTTGAGTTTCCTATTTAAATGGCTTTAATGGAGATATTTAAGGGATATGAAAAGTTGTATATGATTTAATTAAAAAGTTAAAAAGTTGTAATAAATTGTATCTTATGTAATTTTCTGAAAGCAGTTGTAATTCTTTTAAATTAATTTTAAGAAGGTTGTATTCTATGTAAATTCCTCCTTTATTTTTCATGTTATCACACTGATTAAACTCGGGAATTGGCACAATACAAATTTGCCGGTCGATCGAAACTAATTGCATTTGCTAGCCAATATATATATATATATATATTACATATATTATATCTATGTAACACATAGATATACAAAAAATATATATTTTATCGATTATTATTTTTAGTAGCGATTAAAAATATATATTTCTCAATTAAGTTTAGGATGAACTACACTGATTCTAAAGGAAAAGAGGACATTCCGGACTGCCAACTTCCTCAACGACGATATTCATTCGGTGCATTTGTTTGAGATTTGAGTTTAGGAAAATTTCACAATTAAAACAAAATGCAAAAGAAAATGCTTTTTACACCCCCAATGCCCAATTTTGACTGGTAAGGAGAAAAAGAAATGTTTGAGTTAACCTCTTGAAGTAAAGAGCAATAATCTTGTTTTCTCTTATTTTTTTCTTTTACTATTTCAAATATAAAAAAGAAAAGCAAAAAAGAAGGGATAGAACTTGTTTACGAGCTACAAGCCATAAATTGGGTGAAGTACACAAATAACCCTCAAAGTGGATGATCTTATAATTTTGTCCTCGCTTGTCTCATATGCAGAATTTTAAATTTAACAAGTATTCCCCTTTGTTTGCTTTATGAGCAATACTTTTATCTTTTGACCTTTAAGTTATGTCTGGTTCAAAAGTTAAAGATCTTCCAAAAAGTTTCATATTTTTGCAATTTCTTTTTGCATAAATAGACCATATTTATCGCGGGCTTCATCAATGGATTTGTATGACTTGGGCTTTCAGAGTAAAGCCTTTGCTGACTCTGATTAGATCATTAGAATTGTGGGCGAAATTCAAAAATAACAAGATTTATAAGTGGTAATTAAAAAATAGTCACAATTTTAAAAGTAATCGAAATTTAGCCACTTTTCATGTAAAGATAAATTTGAACGAAAACACTATTCAAAATCAGAAAAATATTCCAGCATAATATACTGGAGTTCCAGCATAATATACTGGAACTCCAGTATAATATATACTGAAGTTTCAGTATATTATACTAGAACTCCAGCATAATATACTGGAGTTCCAGTATAATATACCGATCCAGCATAATATGCTGGAAGTTCATACACATGTGCTCCAATATCCAGTATATTATGCTAGAACTTTCCGCGTGTTGGAGTTCCAGCATAATATGCTAGAAATTCATACACAGGTACACCAATCTCCAGTATATTATGCTGGACCTGTCCGTTTTACAGCAAAATAGTGGCTATTTTTTAATGACTTTGCAAACGTTGTCTATTTTTCAATTACCAATCCGAAAACTGACTAGCCCGTGCTATTTTTACTAGAATTGTTTGTTCCAATTCAAAAGGCAAAGGTGACATATTTTTTTCAAATAATCATCTAACTTGCAGATCTTTTTAATAAAATTTACTAAAAAATTAATCTTTTACATTTTAAAATTACTGAACTATGTGGTTGCCAACCTCATCAAAATTTACCGGAAATCCCAAGTAAGCATTTACCTTAACCCTAAAACGGTAATATACACTATATAGTTTTATAAGATATAATGAACATATTTTTAACTACTACTTTTTAAAAAAGTTTAAAATAAAATTGGCAAAAAAATCCAATTTAAGGAATAATTCGATTTTATAAACAAGGCACAAGTCTATTAATGATAAATACATAAAAATATAGAAGTGTAAATCCAATATAATTATCATATCCAAGGATGGACATTTTCATAAGAAATATGTGGACTAATATTTAAAGACTTCCTTTTTCTTCTCCCCTTCCCATAGAACCATTTTCTTCTTTACCAAAAAGAAAAGGTCAATAATTATTTCAGCTTAGTGACTAATTACTAGCGCAATCTGCCAATTGTGCAGTCTTAATTGGTTAATTGTGTTTTAACGCTGTAACGCACATTCTGTTCCTTTGATGGAGGAGGATGGCAATAATTTGGTAGACTCTCTATACTTCGAAGTTGCAATAAGTCAAGAAATGCTAAAATATTATTTACTCTCTTTGTAAATAATATTTTTCTCAAAAATAATTTTTGGGTGCTTGGTCTATGAGTGAAATTTTTTGTTTTTGGAAAATAATTTCTGTCAACTAAATATTAAAAAATGACTTTCTCATGTGAAATATTTTTCTGAAAAATGATTTCTGTCATATCAAACACACCCAATCACCCAATCACGTCACAAATCTCACCATTAAAGGATAAGCTCCACCTAATTAGTTAAATGTTCAAAATCGTTAGATCCAAACCCAACCCGTGCTAGTGTTAAGTGCCTACTTGATGGTCTTGTAATTAACTGAAAGGTCCTAATTATTCAAGTGCACAATAATATTGGTTAAGCTTAATAGCACCTCTTAGGAGTGTAAGTTAAGTGGAAACTAACTTGATTCAAAACACAGGCTAAGTGGGGTTTGTCCAATTTTTTTCTTTCTATTAATTCACCTAAGTATTTAAGACAAAGTCATTTTATGTAATAAGTAATGACTATGCCGGATTTTTAAGACAATGAGGTCTAGACAGGTATTATACCATTGATTCCCATTAAGATTTGGCCATCTTATTTTGATTTAGATTTGGCCACACTAACCTTTTTTTTCTTTTCCAAAGCACACACTAACATAGTAACATATCACTATGTCTCCAAGTGGTTTCTTCCCTTTTCGTTGTCACATTTCGAAACGTTTTTCTAATTTTTAAGTTGAAAATAGCAAGAGAAAAAAAAAAAGAAAATAGAATTGTGTCTCACGATTGATCCCTTAAAAAAAAATTAAAAAATTAAAATAACCATATGGTATCTGGTAGACTGGTACCCTTTAGCCCGACCAATTCATATATCAACTAAAGGGAAGCACTCTCTACTAAGGGTTCCTCCATTATCAAATGCGCGAAACTGAGATCTCTGATTAAGAGTAAAAGAATCATCATCCATTCCATCACACTCGACTAATAAATTTACATTCGCGTCATATAAAGCCCATTAAAAAGGAAATCACTTCCTGCCAAGAGTTTGAAAAAGTATTCTCTATTGAGAGTTTCTTTCATTCTCAAATATCTTTTTTAAGTGTAGAGGGCCCATGGTTGATTCTTAAGCAACCACTTATCCATTTTTTTTTTTTTTTTTTGACGGTNATTTTTTTTTTTTTGACGGTAGTAGAAGCACAAACCAATTAATTTTTTCCTAGTCTATGGGGTTTGGCTTCTAGCATATTTTTCCATTCCAATTATTTCCATATAAAGAGCTTCCTAACTAAAGATAAGGCAAACAACCAGCACATAGTGTTATAGTCTGTATTGCTTTAATAAATAATTAAACTTTCTGAAATATATAAACAAAACAGAAAGTTAGTAATACTTGTTT